GGCGCCGATTTCGAGCGTCGGTCAGAGTCGATTTGGGCGCCGATTTGGCGTCGACTCAGCGTCGATTGGCGTCGGCTAGCGTCGATTAGCGTCGGTTCGCGAAGCTGACAATGTGGTCTGGGACCAGTGGGCCCTGGAAACGACAGGGCCATTTTTTTACCGGTTCCGTTTTGCCGTTTTTTTGCCGGTTCCGACGCCGTTTTTTTACCGGTTCCGTCGCCGTTTTTTGACCGGTTCCGGCTCCAGTTCCGATCCTGGAACCGTTTTTTTTTCCCGTTTCCGGTCGCCGTTTTTTTTGCCGTTTCCATTTTCAATGGGCATTGTTTTGGAAACGGTGAAAAAACGGCCCTGCCGTTGGTATGGGAGGCTCCCACTGCTTGCCACCGAGATGTCCTCAGCCGTGCCCTCGCGGTCTGGGCACGGAGGCGCGAGGTCCCACGGGGAGATGGCGCGATGCCACGGGCACGCTCCGCGCGGTGGGCGCTCGCCCAGAGGCCGCCCTGCCCTGTCCGCCCACGGGCCCCGCGGCGGGGGCGTCCGCACCGCGAGGTGTGTGGACACGGACGTGCTGCGGGCGCTGCCTGGAGGCGGTCCTGGCACGGGTCTGAGGCCCGAAAACCATCACTTCACTAATTTTGGGCCCCAGGGCCCACTGAGGCCCCAGGGGCCCCAGATTAGTGAAGTGATGTTTTTTCCCACGTAATGACCCCGAAATGCATCACTTCACTAAACCGAACCCAGGACGAAAGCCAGGGGCCGGGGTGCCCCTGGCTTTCCCTTCCCATTTTCGAGCCCCTGGGGCCCTCCGAGCCTCGCGAGTGGGGTGCTCTGGAGGGCCCCCCTGTCACAGGCGGGCTCTGTGGGGCCCGGGGCCCACCGGGGCCCCCCGGGGCCCAGGATCCCCGGAGAGGCCCACAGGGGCCCTGTGGGCCTCCCCGGGGATCCTGGGGACGCATGGGGCCAGGGACGCCTGCGGCGGCGCTGGAAGGCTCCCCGTGGGCCAGGGGCCTCTGGCAGCGCCCGAGGGCTTCCCGCCCGCGACCGTCGCAGCTCGCAGCCCGCTCCTGGCTCCCTGCGCCTCGTCGCAATGCTCAGGAGGGGGAAAAACACACAGACACAATCAATCATCGATTCCCCAGAAAGTGGGGGGGAAGACAACAACCAAGAAAATATGGGGAATCCTGTTATTTGTGCGTATTTGTTTGTGTGTCCCAGGGCCCCTTTCAATGCCAGATTTTATCCTCTCCTTTTTTTGGTTCGGCTTTTTTGGGTTGCCGTGCGGGCTTCTGGGGCGGGCCTCGGTGCCACCAACAAAAGCGGACCCCGGACGAGCAGCTGCCCCCGTGGAGGGAGGTCGAGGCCTCCTCCGGCTTGGCGCCGCTCGGACGTGTGCTGTCTTTCCCGGCGGGGACCTCCGACGAGGACTTCTGATCATCGAGCAAGAGGGCACCACCCCAACATACTTATACTATATGTGCGTCGCCCCCCCAAGGGCGACGCGCACACCGAGAAATCTTATAGTATATGCGTCGTGGCGGACGCTTTCTGGCCACACCGCTCGGGAAACGATGTACTACAAGATGGGTATACTACATGTTCGGGTCGGACGCGCGCCTCCAAGGAAACATATAGTATTAGTATGTCTCTGTGCGTCCCAAGGAGCACGCGCGAGACCGAGCGATGCACGAGGGTTGGCGTCCGAGCGACGGTAGGCTGGGGCCCGCGAGCTGATCAGGGCAGCCCGTGGGAAGGCTGGGCTCCGAGCAAAGGCCCCAGGCCGCGCGGTGATGACATCTGCCGTCGCCGCTCGTCTTCCCGCGCCTCTCGCTCTTCGCTCTGGCGGCCCACAAGGGCGGGCCTCGCGGAGGGCATGCACGGCCAGACGAGCCGCGGATCGGCACCGCCCTCCATGCGCCTGGCCTGGCCCGACCCGACCTGACCTCCCTTTCGTCGCCGCTTTCGCCGCCGCCGCCGCCGCCGCCGCCGCCGCCGCCGCCGCCGCCGCCGCCGCCGCCGCCGTCGTCGTCGTCGTCGTCGTCGTCGTCGTCGTCGTCGTCGTCGTCGTCGTCGTCGTCGTCGTCGTCGTCGTCGTCGTCGTCGTCGTCGTCGTCGTCCACTCGCTCCCCTCCCGTTGGAGTGCTCGGATGCCCATCCTCGCGCTGCGCGGCCACGGGACACCAGGCCCCGGGTCTGCGGGCGACACCTGGCACCACGGGGAAGAACGGCCCCAGCTTCGGAGGGGTGCCCTTTTGTGTCTCGGCGGCGCGCCCGGGGGGGGGAGGCGCAGGCCTTCTCGGAAGGCTCGGAGGTCCCCCGGGGCTTCCGAGAAGCTTTCTGGGCCTTCCCCGAAGACACGACAAAGGGGCCTGCTGAGAAGCCCCGGAGGAGGAGGAGGAGGAGGAGGAG